GGTTCTTCTTTCTCGCCATATGAACCAGCATTTCCCCTTCCTCTGCCACGGCCTCTACCCCTTCCTCTTGAGGTGGTTTGATCCCTATTGTTCTTAGAATGTGGCTTTGAGTTTTCTCTGGCCTCCCACTCTGCCCTGGTTAGCAATACAGTTTCTTCTTCTCCTATGTGATGATCTTTCATCCTTTCCTCATGTGCCTTGAAAGATCCTATGATTTCTTCTGAGGTCTTAATCTTCAGGTCACCAAATTCTTCAATTGCAGAAGCAATTTGCAGAAGCTTTGGTGGTGCTGCTCTTAGAAGTTTCTTCACCACCTTCTCTTCTTCAACAACATTTCCAAGCCCCCTTATTTTTGTGATAACCATTTGGAGTTTTCCTGCAAACTCATCAACATTATCAGTATCCTTCATTTTCATTTCATCAAATTCCCTCCATAGTGCTTGAGTTCTGACTTCTTTAACTCTTTCAGCACCTAGGTTCATTGTTTTCAACATGGACCAAGCCTCCTTAGCAGTTCGTTTGGCCCCCAACTGTAACAAGGTATCTTCTCCTATACCTTGATAAATGGCTGCCAGGGCCATCTTGTCTCTTCTATTATCAACCGGTTCAGGAGACTCCACTGCGTCCCACACTCCTTGGGCTGTCATGAAAACTTCCATCTTAATAGCCCATGCTGCATAATTACTCCTTGTCAGCATGGGATATTTGAGGGTGACTGTGCCTTCTCTGTCATGGATCTTCATATTGTCATCACCATGATGTGTATCACCTATGTTGCCATCTTCACTTTCAGATGAAGCAGAACTCATGATCGATTAATTGCTGGCTCTGATACCAATTGTTGGAATATCTCCTTGGATTGCAACACACACAAATGGCAACAACTCACACACACAGTATATCACGTATGAACCAACCAGGATTTCACACCAAACTCTTTCAATGTGATTGATTTTTCTTGAGGAGGAAAAACCCAGTACATGGATCAGAAAAAACCTCCAACCCCACCTCTTAATAAAACAACTCGAGAATGGGGTAAGCAGTTGAGATAAAATAGGAACCACTACACCTATATGCATGCATGATCACTTGACTACTTCACACACACGTACATGACTCTTTTGTGACTTATTTAATTTAGTAAATGCAACAACCATACATAATACTTAAATATGACCCAAATTAAACATAAAACAAGTTTAAAATAAATGCTGACTAACATCATCGTTTGAATTTTGTTCATTTGATTAGTTTTATGGTGAATTGAATTGACAGGAATCAGAAGTGGAATTGCGAACGAAACGTGAAGTTAAACACAACAGAAGTTTAAGAAAGGGAGGTTTAATTAACGGAAGCCACGTAAATACGTACCATAGTCTAACACTAATGGCCTGGAAACAATATGGCGCAGGGTTAATTGGAATGAACATTCATTTAAATGTTATTTACAAATATGTAATTCCCAGTTAATTAATAACTATTTTTAACTACTATAACACATTTTCCTTTAAAAAAAACTACTATAACACATTTAAATTTATATATGCTTTGATAGAAACATTCATCATAGATTCATAGAAACCTTCATCATAGAAACCATACCTCAATAGTCGCCTGGAAATCAATTTTCTATGACGTTAGAAACAAAATTGATACTCCGTAGTTAATATATCATATTTTGTATCATGGTAATTTAAGTTAAAGTTTGATCTTAGAGTGAATGAGTGATGGATGTAGTAGAAATAAGTTGTATTGGTTGACCACGGAAAATTTTGTTAAAGATTAGTTAAATAGCTTAATAATGAAATTTTGTGTAAAACACCATGTTCTAAAACTTAAGTCTTGTTCACTTTATTGCTATTGTTGATAGAAATAACTTTAGTGTGTAGATACCTTTCTACCGGTTCGGGTCAAAGACCGGTACCGGGACCGAAGGGCCGGGCCGGGCCGGGCCAGTTCACGGGTCGGGCGGCCCGACCGGGTCCAAGACTACTGGAGAGTTGATAATGTTAATCCTATTCTAAAGTTGCATGTTCAAAAAAATCACTCTTAAGAAGTGGTTTACCACTTTACCCCACACCATGAACTCCTATCCCTACATTCAACTTGATATTTCTAAGAAGTGTTATATTTTTTCCCTATCTTTACATTTGAGTGTAACCTTATTCATTATATTTTGCTGGTGAAGTAACTGTAAATACATTATATAGATGTTTGTATTCAACAAATAATATTGAGCACTAACCCAATCCCTCAAAATAACTAGTAATATATATACTCGTAGTACTATACGTAGTACTTCGTATATAATAGCAATAAATTTTTAAAAATTTGGAATCCCTTTAATTGGTAGCTAGACTTTATTCTATTAATTTATGTATTGAAAGGAGATGGACAAATTTATTATAAAAAGTACGTAGGGATTATATCAAAACTAAGTTGTTACGTAATTGCAATTTTTATTTCATTCCAATAATTAATAAGTTGAATATGATATATTCTTTAAACATGTAAAAAACAAATTAAAAATATAATTGGATCTTATGATCACTTCACGGTAATTTCTCAAAAGAAAAAGTTAATTATCCCTTCATCTACAAGCATGTTCTTTTTTAATCTAGGCAAATGGAATAATATGTTTCCTTCCTCTAGCGATCAATCTCATTATCGAAATAAGTCAGATGATATGATTGCTACATCTATCCTTTTGTTTTCTTTGATGATGTGATTCCTTCCATGAATTATTTGATCGATGTGTCGTTTGTTTAGTGTTTTCGTGTTATTAATTGATTACGGAGTATATTTTAGACATGTCGCCATTTGAAGATGAAATCGGCGGATGGTTTGTTTCGGGCATCAATATTTGTGAGGTTATTCTTAAAAAATGAATGAGAGTATGAGACTAGTATGGTTTATGTGATTAGATAGATTATCAGTGAGTCTATTTGTTAGAATTAGGTGTTACGCTTCAAAATATGATTGTGAATTATTTGTGTGGGGTGGAATGGGAGTTACTTAAATAAATAATTATTGACAAAATTGAGAATATCTAAAGACCACCGTTGACACATAAAGGAAACTTTAGATTAAAAGAAGTATAGAGGAATTTTGTTGCAATAATGTGGAAGTGAGAGTAATAAAAACGTATTCGAGAGTGTTAGAGAAGTATATACATATATCTCGTTCGATTTTGGTGAGACCGTAAAAACACTCATTCATATGAGAGGCGTGATACTCCTCTATTTACCTGTGAAGTAGTAGGTTAGGAATATTTCATTTAACTTGATCTAATTTAACTTTCAATGAAAACACTAAATGATAGGGAGTATACTATTATTTTAGAGAGATGTGAAAGTTAGAAAAGTAATTGTATAAATAATGAATCGCTCGGTCCCTCCTTTAATTTACATGGCTCATAAAGGAATATTACATGTTGCCAATTTGCCATGTTGGTCATTACAGTTTCACACTTTCAAATTTGTAAGTAGAAATGAAATAGGCAATTCTAATAAAAGAATTTCAATAAATTATCAACTTTTTGTATGTATTTTCCGTTAAGAGGCGTGGACAATTATTGATCAACATTGCACTAGATTGAGGGTAGATCTAGAATTGGGAATTAATTTTTATCAATTCGGGACTAGAATGATAGATGAATTATTAATTCGAGACTTGAATGATGAAATGTATCAGTATAAGACCCGAATGATAGAAAACTATCAATCTAAGACCTAACATTTCATAGGTTTTTTTTTAATTTTTTATTAATTCCATTGCTAATATTTGGTGAATCTTTCTTCTCAAAAGTTTATTAGTTTAAGAGAAAAGAGGCAAATAAGCCCTTCAACTATTTGCAATTGTGCAATCAAGCTCCTGAACTTGAAGAATTGCAGACACACCCCCTCAACTCATCGAAAATGATGCAATCAGGTCCTTTTTACCTGGTGGTGCTGGTAATATTTCATCTTCTTACTTCCCACCAACAGGTAAAAAAGGATTTGATTGCATCATTTTCAATGAGTTGAGGGATGTATCTGCAATTCTTCAAGTTCAGGGGCCTGATTGCAAAATTGCAAATAGTTGGAGGGCTTATTTGCCTCTTTTCTCTTAGTTTAATAAAACTAAATATCATTTAAAAATTTTAAAATAAAAAAGTAATAAAATTTAGGGAAAAGGTGCAAATAGGCCCTTGTACTAACCAAAAAAGGTCAAATAAGCCCTTATTTAGGAAGTTCTGTCTGGCCGTCGTCATTTGGGGTGGTTCCCGGTGGAATTTTTTGATGAAATTTTTTGAGCATCTTATTCATCAAGTCTAGTTTGCTCATACCAAATTTCATCTAAAACTTGAATCGGGAAGGCATTCAAATGAATTCTTGAAGATAACTGCGCTTCTAACTGCGCAGTTATTTTCAAGAATTCATTTGAATGCCTTCCCGATTGAAGTTTTAGCTGAAATTTGGTATGAGTAAACTAGACTTAATGAATAGGATGCTCAAAAAACTGCATAAAAAATTCCACCGGGAACCACTCCAAATGACGACGGCCGGACAAAGTCTCCTAAATAAGGGCTTATTTGACCTTTTTTGGTTAGTACATGGGCCTATTTGCACCTTTTCCCTAAAATTTATGAAAACTTAGGTCCTAAATTGATAGCTTTCAATCATTCGAGTCCTAGACTGAGAGTTTTACATCATTCGGGTCCTATACCGATACATCTCATCTTTCAGGTCCTAGATTGATAATTTTTCTATCTTTCAGGTTCTGGAATGATAAAATTCCATGTAATTTTATAAATTCAGGACCTGAAAGATACATGAATTATCAATCTCGAACATGAAAGATAAAGTGTATCAATGTAGGACATGAATGATGAAAACCTATCAATTTGGGACCTGAATGAATGAAAATAATCAATCTAGTACCTCAGTTGACATGATTTTTATTATTATTTTTTTTTCCAAAATTTAATCCATTCATTTTTAGATCCTATATTGACAAAATTCTGTAAAAGGTATACTCTATGATCTATAGTCTATACTAGTACTTGTAAAAGTAGCCTCAAAATGGGCCAGTGCTCCACCCTAAGAGGCCCAAAGAAACCAGCAGATTCGCAGAAACCGATTCTCAATTAAACGTTATCGATGCGCCGTCGTCAACTCACCCCGTCGTAACTGGTACGGTAGGGTTTTGAATTTCGATTGATGATCACCAGCTCTTTGGGATCAGCTGCTAAACGAGGTACACTGCTGCAAATTTCTCGTCTCTCTGTCTCTAAGTAGCTTTCTCTTTTTCTCAGATTCGCTGGTTTCAACACTTTTGAATAAAGGATTCTCTTTTTAGTCAAGTTATTTACTTTAAGCAGATATTCGGTTTTTATTTCTCGCACTTGAATATCTTGTTGTGTGGGAAATGGAAAACTCTGGGTTAAGATATATAAGATTAACAATTCTTGAAACCTGGCCAGTGGCTAAAAGGAGATGTGATTCTTTGCAGGGAATAACAACTGTTAGGAAGGTACTCATTGAATATGAAGCCCATCTTTTGTGGAAACCTGGATTTTGATGCCCGGGAGTCAGATGTGGAGCGACTTTTCCGAAAATATGGAAGGGTTGAAAGAATTGATATTAAACCTGGCATGTTCTCAAGCTCCTTTTTAAATTAAACTTCTTTTGATTAAGCCTATTTTGTCACTAGACTTTGTCTTTCCATATATTAATTCTGCAGCCATATAAAAGCTATCATTGTATTTACATATTTTGTTTATACATGTGTGATCCATTCCCATTAATGTATTTTTACATACACTTCATTTCCAATCACCCACAAGCTATGTTCATTTCGACTAGACTGCCACATTTACCTTGCCTGAATGGAGTCGAGGCAGTCCTAATTTTTCCATTTTCAAGATGATTAATGGAGGCATTGCTAGCATACGTATATTTGGGATGGAAAGTATTTTTTCAACACAGCATTACAGCCTGTGATGAACATTTAACTTATCTACAATCTCTATGGGAGTATGGGTATATGGTTTGTGGAAAGTAACTTTCTACTTTCTTAGTTCCTTTATTTGCACACACTGCTCTGTTTCCATTGATGGACATGCAACAGTGGATAGTTGGGTATCCTTCTCAATGTTATGGATACATTCAACCCAGTCTATGATTTTATCTCACATCTAAGCATCAGACCTTACATCCTTACCACTGAAAATTTAAAACATATATTCCCCGTTTTTAAAAAGTTTTTTGGCCAAGGGTTTTGGGGAGTTGGTGGAGTCATTGGTGGTGGCAAGACATATAAGACAGTGATCTGGACTTTTTGCTTCCATTTGTGGGGTTAAATTCATATGTTCCACCCGTTCCAGGCACTGGTCGGCTGGCCATATAGATGCATTAGATTCTATATTCCAAGTCCGCTCTTCATTGCCAATTATTTAATATAATGATAAAATGGGGATTGTATAGAACCGCAAATTTTATTTACGCTTGTGGAAGGATCGGCCCAAGTAATTCTCAATTTCTGATGTATATTATCTGCATTTCTTATGTCTGTCTCAGGGAATCACTCTGATCTGCTATGATCCTACCATACCACACTTTTCTCTGACCATCGCCCTTATCAATTTGTCATGAGTTTGATCAGTACTATCAGTTTCTCACTTCTTTCAGCATAAATAGCTTGAGCATCTTGGATCCTGTTGCAGCTGTTGAGTTCATTCCATTTTTCTTTCCCCTCCTCCCATCTTTACCCCTGTATAATGAGAGTTGTTAGTGGTAAGTTTTTGTTTTTTCCATTTTTGGAGTCCCCAAGTGCTTTGACAGGAAACATTTTCAGCTAGTGCCTTTTGTATTAAAAATTCAAATCATAACAACATATCGTTTTGACCCTTTAGGGTATATTTACACTTTGAAAATGCTTGAGAATTAGTAAAAAGATGCTCAAGGAAGCTTGTATGTATGTGTCTGTGTTTATTTTTACCTTGGGAGATGGAAATGAAAATTTTAAATTTTTAATTATTTTTGCATATATTTAGATTTCTTAGTCCCAATATCTTTTGGGACTAAGGCTTGGATGTTGTTGTTGTGTTGTTAGATTTCTTTGTCTTTGTATGTAAAAGTAATAAACAAATAAAAGAAGCTTGAACGAGTATCAATAAATATATTGAGTTTAAACCAACTTTTTCTTTGCTCACCACTTTTTGGGAATTCGTCCTACATTGTATTCCATAGTTGGTTTCCTTGGCTTCTTTGTGTGTCAAACAGACCCTAACTGTTTTACAATTACAGGCTTCGCTTTTATCTACATGGAAGATGAACGTGATGCTGAAGATGCAATAAGAAGACTTGACCGGATTGAGTTTGGGAGAAAGGGACGAAGACTACGTGTGGAGTGGACCAAGGTGTGCAGGTCATTGATGTATTAGTGCACAAATATTTAGGTCTTAAAGTAGTAAATGAGCAGAAATGGTGACGGTTATAGTTTCGTTTGAATCTAGTAGTCAAAATCTGCCCATATGGAACCTGGATAATGCTATGAAATGCAAATAAAGTAGATAATTGGAAGCTAAGATTTGGGAAAATAAAAGAAAAACTATAGGCGGGTAAATTTGTACTCCCTAGCCCCTCCTTCCCATTTTACCTTTCCTATTTTCCTTTTTGAGTTGTTCCAAAATAAGTGTCACATTTTCTTTTTTTGTAAAGAAATATGTGACCTACAACATTTTACTTTATTATGCTCAAATCTCAACCACAACTTTTACTTTTTTCAACCACTTTATTAATAATTGTGCCAAACCAAAGTAGGACACTTAAAATGGGATGACGGTAGTATTAGATATTATTTGAACTTTTTGTATAATTATATAAAGGCAGAAATTTTTTAAAACTGTATAAATTTTAAAAACCATTTATCACATTTCATTTTTCTTTGCATTTCCCATGGTAAAAAACATAACATAATGTCATAATTTCCTGAGAACTTTTTTTCCTCTTTCCCCTAGCTTATTCTGAGATCCAAACACACCCTGGCTGATGATGGAAAGTTGCACATGCTCAACTTCTTTATTCTTAGTCTTAGTATAAAAAAGCGCGCCTCAAAAAGGTAAAGAGACATCCTGAGGCGATGGGCATGTCACATATATTAGTCTGAGGCTCGGCAGATACCCATAGGCGTGCCCTATCCATTGCCTTTTGAAGCTGGTGTGCTTTCTTGGATGCATCCGCCTTTGGCGCGTTTGGGGTGTTAACTATCTTCTTGAGAGATCTTAGCGATTCACATACCTATGAGAAATTTTGTCGAGTATCTCCTGCTCCTCTTTATTCTTCTGTCTTTCCCCAGCTTTTTTTACTCTTTCTTCTCCTTTTATTTTATGTTTTAAATTTATATAACATTTGACCTTTAAATTATTTATATATACACTACGTAACATATAACAATTTCAATCCCTAACAGATAGTTTATCAATTTTAAATAATACAGAGTAATAAAGATGGTTTCTACAAGTAGATTGTTTAAATTCTTACTTTCAACAATTTAATTAAAATTAAATATTAACCATGTACTCCCTCCGTGCCCTTTTAAATGTCTCGTTTTATCATATTGGGATGTCCTAATTTAATTGTCCCATACCTCGTTTGGTAAAGTTTGTGTGGCTCAAAATCTTTCTATTACTTTATTCTTACTTTATCAATTAATATCAACCACACAAACCCACTTTTCTTAAAACTCGTGCCACCCTCTTCCGGAACATTTAAAAGGGAACGGAGGGAGTATTATTATATGATATTTTATTATTATTAAATATTAACAATTTATTATATAATTGTTAATTGTTAATTGTTTAAAATTAATACGTAGTATTAACAGTTTATTATAGAACAAATTGTTTAAAAAATACTGTTAACTCTAATATTTTATGACTTATTATATAACAGTTATATGTGACAGTTTATCATTATGGACTGTTGATTATATAACATTTTATTAAAAAAATAGTACGGAGTATTACTTGTTTAAAATCACTATTAACACTATTATAAAACAACAACAATAACAACATCCAAGCCTTAGTATGAACATATCGTTGATCGGCAACTCCTTACCATCTAAGGTAATCTTACTGTTGTTTGTTACCATGGCTTCGATCACCATCAAATTGCACTTTATGTTTTAGTCTTGGTTTGGCTTAGGGTTGTTTTGCAAACACTGTAAAAAAAGCACTTTTCAACTTTTGGCTTTAAAAAAGCACTTATTTTACCAAACACTACAACCTTTTTTTTCCGGCTTTCATGTCAAAAGTGCTTTTATACTTTTTCTATTACAAAAAAGCACTTATTTTACCAAACACTACCAACTTTTACTTTTCAAAATCACTTTTTTCTCAAACACTATCAACTTTTATTTAATCACTTCTCTCCATTTCATTAAAAAAGCACTTTTTTAAAAGCAGAAACTGTTGCAAACAGACCCTTAGCATGGAACCGTTGTTCTCCAAATTTGTTGCTATACTCTCAACTTTTCTTTAACACTCGATCTTGTCTCATCAATGAACACAATATCATTTGCAAAATGCAAACATCATGCACGATGGTTTATTATAAAAAATTGTTAAAAAATTACTGGTTTTATATATAAGTAATTACCTCCTCCCTATAAAAGCTACTTCCATCCCGAGTTAAGCTTCTCATTGAAAAATGACATGGTTATTTAGACAATAATTGAATAAGGTATTCTAGTATATTTTGATAAATAATTTTGATGGATATATAATATAATGATGTCATTGATGGCAAGTGTGATGTTATAGATGCATTACTTTTTATATTTGATGATTAAGTTGTCACTTAAGAGTGCTAATCATATCTAAAATAGTAATGACAACCTTCAACAGGGATGTCCAAAAGAGACAAGTGAGAAGCTTAAGTTGGGATTGAGGGAGTAGTTAGGAGTAGCCCTCCAATAGCTTAGTTGTAGCATTTTGTATTGAATTTTTAATCCTCCAATGCTGTCAGAGAGACTTAATTGTATATTACTCCTCCAATAGTCCACCATGCCTTAAGTTCAGTAGGTAGTTTGGCTTTTAATATTTTTCTTGCTAATATTTGAATAAGTTAATTGAGCTAGTTTAATGGCTTAAGGCATTTTTGTGATGTAATCATTTTTTTGGAAGAGGGCTTCATGAAGAAATACTATAAACATATTTTACCAAAGTTATATGCCTAAGCTCTGTGAGGTGGGCGCCTTTGCCTCATGCCTCAGGTAAATTGACCAGAAATGCCTTATGCCGCCTCCCGCCTTTTAAAAGTAAGCTTATAATGTTGTAGCATGAACGTGTTGCAAGGAGGCCGGAGAGGAGTGACCCTTCAAGGAGATCTTCAGCTAACACAAGACCTTCAAAAACATTGTTTGTGATCAACTTTGATCCTGCAACACGAACACGGGACCTGGAGAGGCATTTTGAACCGTATGGGAAGATATTGAATGTCAGGATCAGGAGAAACTTTGCTTTTATTCAATACGAATCTGAAGATGATGCCAGCAGGGCACTAGAGGCGACACATATGAGGTTTGTTCTTGGGATATTTTAATGAATACTCTAAACCTATCTTGTCATGTGCATTATTGTATTTAGCACACCTGTAAACTCCTCCTTGAGGGCACATCTGCAATCTAAGAAACCGTGGAGAAAGAAAAGGATGTGAAACAAATAAAAAACGGAAGGAAATAATTTGATATGGGAAGGCTTGCCCCCTATACATCCTTGTGGTGGGACCCATCCCCAAACCCTCACCTTGCGGGGATGCCTTTGTATACTGAGCTGCCGTTTTTATAATATTTTGTGAGGGAAATGAAACGATTGGATAAACTTCATAAATTGGTTTAGATATTTTTATATTTCTCAGCTTTTGTATCCTTTTCAACTTCAATTTCAAATGTAATTCGTGTTAGCCGATCCCAAACTCTTTTGGGACTTATGTGACTGTCCCTAAAAACAGTCTTGTTCGAGTAAGGTACATTTTTATTTTATTTTAGCCAATTCAATCAAGGTAAATATTTATACAAGTTATATATGGTAATTTATATCCCAAAACTTTATTCCTAGTTTTAATGGAGTAATTTACTAAACCCGCTTGACTTTACAGATATTTCACATAAAGATTAGAATTGATTTTAAAACCCGGACTCTTTTTTCATAAGAAAGTTTAAAAAAGAAGATACTTGGTATGTTTCATTTTTTCTCTACGTTTTCCAAGATAAAACCAGATACAAGAAAATATCTTTCATCGGATATTCCTTCCCTTTATTATTGGACAAGATCAAGCAAACTGTAATTGCTTGGGCACTAGAAGGAAGATATTACTTGGATGAGAATATGAGATTTTTCATATATAAACATTACGTAGTCTGTATATACAAATGGTAGTCTATACATACAATTGGTACTGCTTCTCAAATCAGAAGTATGTGATCTTATTTTGAGTTTTGGACATTTTTGTTGACCAAATATGCAGCAAGTTATTGGACCAAGTGATTTCGGTGGAATTTGCAATTAGAGATGATGATAACAGACGAAGTGGAAATGGTTACAGTCCTGATAGAAGAGGGAATGACTTCTCCCCTGACACAAGAGGCTATGACCGTAGGCGTTCCCCAAGCCCGTACCGTAGGGATAGGGGCAGCCCTGATTATGGACATGGATCCATTCCAAATTCCAGACCTCCACCTCCACCTACTAGGGAAAGTCCAGAAGTTGGGGAGTTGCAGCAGAGCCCCGAGAGTGACAGATACCACAGGTTAATATAACACCACTACCTACTTCATGTTTTCTCAACTATTTTTTATCCATGTAACACCACTCCACACTTTCTTTGTTTTCTATATTCTTGATTCAATTCTAAATTTACGTTGTACTATCGTATTTTATATACTATAGCTCAATTTGATAACCTCGATATGCAATTTAGACCTGATCTACTACTGGTCTACTGCACATATTTTCCCTATAGCTATGTGTCATACAAAGTATTTTTTATGAGATTGGGTCCAGTCGTCCAGATAAAACAGTTGACAAGCAGATTGGTAAAAGTACCGTTCTTATTTAAAAGCAAATATGTATAACACTAAAATGGGTTTGAATTGCATAGTCATGTTACTAAACTGGCACAACCCTTTTCACTATTACTATATATTCTGCATATTGGTATTTTCAAATGGCTGACAGGATAAATGTAAATGCAGCCGGTCGCGTGAGAGATCTCGATCCTGAGAAGACAGCCTTGGAATTGTTTATCTGACAAAATTGTTCCATCTTGAGTTGTTGTAATTTTCCTTGATGACTTGACTTTTAACACTAAACATTTATATTATGATGAGGAGATCACCTGCATGTTGTGCCATTGTTGCCTTAGATAATGAAGTTATTTAAAATCCTTCATACTTTGGGTATGTTCTATAAACAGTCATCTGATTCTTGTTAATGTTAGTGTCTCTGTAGTCTGTACCTTTTGTTGAAGTCTAATTTCTGCCAGCCTCTTTCTTTTAAGATTGAATTTAAGAATGGTAGTATTCTAATAATTCTTCCAAATATACTTTTTGAAATCGAAGACCTGTTCATAGTGCTTGTGTATGTGCGAGGGAGGGAGATATCTCATCGGTCCTGACTCCTGGCCTCCTGGGTGATGACATATTGAGATCCCATCCAACCAAAAATCATTTTGACCATATGTCTATAAACAGATCCTTTTGTACCCTTACCCGTAGCCGTTAAGGGTGGACATGGTCTGGGACGGAACGGGAATTGGGTTGTCCCGGTACCGAACCCGTTTTATAATAACGGTTCGAAACGGGACAGGATTAGCGGTGGACCCGGACCGGTTTGGGCCCGGTTTAGGCCCGGTTTGGGCCCGGTTCGGGCCTGGGCCTGGCTGTTTTGTTGGGCCCGAGCCCGAACCGGTGGCCACCGGTTTCGGTTCCGGGTCCGGTTCCGTGCCGGACCGGGCTGGGCCGGGCCACCTGTTTTTTTTTTCTTCCTTTTCTTTTCTCCTCCCCTCACACCCCCCAAACCCCCCAAACCCGGTCTAAACATTAAGCCCGGGCCAAAGAAATGAAAAAAAATTAAATTCTGGCCCGGAACCGGGCCCGAACCGGTCGGGCCGGTTCACCAAAAGCTAGGCCCAAGCCCGGACCGCCCAGCTACCGGGCCAGGTCGACCTGAACTGCTGGTTCGCCCGGTTCCCGGGCCGGGCTGGTTCGCACAGTAATCGTGCCAGGCCGGTTTTGAGTTGGGTTGCCAGGCCCGAGTCCACCACTAGACGGGCCAAAGAAATCAGACCAGATTAGACCAGACTAGACCAGCAAATTACAGTCCAAGTAAAAACATCCTAAATCGGTACTGGCAGTGGCGGATCGAACATGGTGGCAAGTGGGGGCTGCTGTTCCCCCAAATTCTAAATTTTAAAATTCTATAATTAATTATTTTTTTACATCTTAGTTATATTTTTATAAAATACGTCTAAAGCAATAACACCAAAAAAATCTCAAAAAAAATCTCTAAATTTATTTATTTCTGCGTCACGATACTCGGCTCTTTAAATTTTAGCCTAAAATTTGATGTAAAATAATAAAAGAATGAATTTGATTAAAAAACTATACTAGGTGAATATATTGGCATTGCTATATTGATGGGGATTGGGGAATAACTTGATGGATCAAAAATGCTTGGGGTACATTAGTTGTACACACCATGTACACCATATAAATATCTTTCCCATTTTTTACCATTCTTCATTCATTATTTTTTACTTTCTCCATCCCCCACTTCTTCTCCTTCCTCTCTCTTTTCTCTACGCTGTGCACAACCCCCAGTTCCCACCTCCTTCTTACCTTTTCTTCAATTTCAACTAATTCTCAAAATTCCTTCAACCCACTTCAAATATCAATACCGACCAACACTTCTACTCCTCCACTGAGGAGCCGTTCGTAGCAAGAAGCAAGGGCTGTCGTGAACAGTGGGATGTCACAGAGAATAGAAAGGAGTGTTTGACCCATTATGCGGATCTCCAGATCTCATCTCTTCCGGTATGGAACGTCGTCGATTGGATTCATAATAAGCGGTACTTGCCTTCATCGGCAAAGTAATGCATATTGGGTAATAGTTACTCCTTGAATTTATGTTCATATAGGGTTGGGATTTTTCTCTAGTTTTAATAATTTGTATTCTATGTTGAATCTTTGAGTATGTCATTTCATTGGTATTAGTTTGTGATGTGAACTACTAAAATTATAGTTGAAGTGTTGTATTTCATTTGTATGCCCATTAAATGTTTGTTGAAATGTTTGAATGAATTCTTTTATATATTCATATCGATTGTTTAAGATGCTTTTGCTCCTTCTTTTATTCATATCGATTGTTGAAATTACAATTTTTTGTTTTGTTTTTAGTAATGATATATATTATGATGGTGAACTCTTTGACTATTTTGTGATGTAAACCATTGAAATTATAGTCTACGTATTATATTTCATCTGTATTCTCATTACATGTTTGTTGAAATGTTTCAATGATTTTTTCATACCTAATGTGCTTTTTCTTTTTCCTTTAATGTGTATTTTTGTTTAACAGGAATTGTATTTTTTACTTTTTATGTTTGCGGTTTAAACTATGTAATGTGTTAACTGTTTGAATCCAAGGCTTTTCTTCTTCTCCTTGTTTTGTTAATGTGCATTTTAGTATTCTTAGAACCCTGGCTATAGAAAGAGGTTTGCCGCTCTATGGGGAAACAACAACTTCAGGAGGCTGGGATATAGCGGCATCAAATTGAGTCAAGTTCTAAGCCTTTGCTGCCTTAAAGTAGCTATATCTATATGTAGCTATATCTATATCTCATGAGCTTTGAAGACATGTGATCAGCAAGAAGTTTAGCAGATCTACTGGTCCTTGGAGTTGACAAGGTATGGCGAAGGGAACACAGTGATCTTGTGAAGAAGAATGCCAACTAATTTAGTCATAGGACGAGCTCATCAAATCATATAGAATTGGATAATCTCAAATTAGTTTCTCTTAGATTAGTCGACATTGGAATGTGTTGACAGTTGGGTTGTAAATGATAATGCTATTTTTTTATATTAGTTGGCATTGAGATTTGAGATGTTGGAGGGTATATAACATTTGTGGTGTAAATGATAATGCTTGTTCTTGGTAATGGAACACTTTGTTTGTAAATATGCTTGTTTTTCACTTAAGAATCAAAGACTGTAAATATGTATCTTTTGCTTGTAACCAGACACTTCATGTCGCGTTCACAGACATTTGCAATCAGCACATTTGTCTGTTCGAGTGGCTATTGCCTGAGCCCAGACATTTCATGTCTGATTCACAGACAATTCCACTTAGCACATAAGCACATTTGCTTGTTCCAGTGGTTATTGCCTGTGGCCAAACATTTCATTTCTAGTTCACAGACAATTCCACTTAGCACATGAGCACATTAGCTCATTCAATGGTTATTGTTTGTGGCAAGACACTTCACGTCCACAAACACTTTTACTTGGTACATTAGTCTGTTCAAGTGGCTATTGTTTGTAACTGGATAGTTCATGTCTGGTTCACAGACAATTCTACTAAGCACATTAGCCCACATTATTGCCTGTGGCCGGACATTTCTTGTATGATACACAGACAATTCCACTTAATCTATTAGTCCATTCTAGTGGTATTGTTTGTGGCTAGACATTTCATATCATGTTCACAGACAATTCTACTTAACATATTAACTTGTTTGAGTAGTTATTGTTTGTGATCGGGCACTTCATATCTAGTTCATAGACAAATTCATTTAACACATTAACTTATTCCTTCTTGGCACACACACCTATTATTCATTTCTTTGAGCACTTTGTTGAATGAGGTATGTAATGTCTAAGAGAGTATTGATCAAAATAATATGGAAGAGTAAACAATATTTAAACATGATTAATTAATAGGATATAAAAACCAACCAACAATTAAGGAAATGCGATTGATAAACCAAAATGAGGACATTTCTTCCTAAGACGACACAATAAACCAAAATATCACCCTTCACCAATATGCATGATGAATATGTCAATAAATAAATTCAATGTCTAATTACATAAAGTAAAAAACACTCCAACAAATGGATTTTTCTCAAATAAATCCAATTTGTCAAGAAATAAGGTCAAGGTATTTAATGGTTATGTAACCACTATTATCTTTATTAAAAAAGAATGCCAACATGAAGTTTTCTTCTCTTTCCAACTTGCTCAAGTGTACTTTAGCAGCTACAATCTCTCCATAGTCTATTATCCCACCACTTTCAATGTCTACAACATATGTAACATCCTTAATCTCATATTCCATCAGCTCTGCTCTAATTCTCGTTAAATCATCTTGTAATCCATCAATGATAAAGTTTTGCTAGTATCTGTGTCAATCAGGTCAAAACTGTAGATGAAAAACTTCGCACTAATGATAGCATTAAGCAAATGAAGTAAAATTCTAGAAAGCTAAAAGCATAAGAAAAACTACTTGAAGTAATTCCACATTGATAAACTGCCAAATTTGAAGGACATAAAACAAAGAGCATTTATGCACAATTAAGCTTCACATTGCCAAATCTTATGTAAAGCAATTTATTCACCATAATATGTAGCAATGTTCATAGGGACCTATCTTTATCATAGTTTCCAATTTTTTTAACAAGTTTAGGCTGAGGGCATAGGCTTCCCTATATTTCTCGGCCTGTTGTTTGGGATCGGAGGGGCAGAAGACCTTTTTAGGTTTGTTTGTTTGGTGTTGTGGGTTGGTTCCCCATTAGATTGTGTTTCTCTGGGGTCCAATTCCATCACCTTGCTTGTTAATGTTATCCCTATCACCTTTGATTTTGGTTTAAATCATTTAAAATAATGTTTTGAACAATGGTTGGTCAGGTTGTAAAGCTGGTGATATGGGAGTTTGAGGGGAGGAGTTTCAATTATAGTAGCAGATATCTCTTGTATCATTGTAAGGATATTAGTGCTATTTTCATAGGTTTTTCCAGGGCCAACATTCTGTTCATTTTGCTTCCCAGGTTGCTCTATCTCATTTGTGACTTCTGCAGGTTCTTCAGAAGGAACATTTTCTCGATTTGCCTGCTGATATGGTGACTAGTACAAATCACCAGTCCATAACAATGAAGCTCAATAGTCAAACATTTATCACCATAGTAACATACATACAATCTAAAAATTAGAAACAAAGATAGCCCTAAAAGAAGAAGAAAATCTAGCAAATTCATAATAATTAAATAATAGTTAATTAATAATTAGTATATCATAGTAAAACTAGAAAACCGAAAAAATAGAGTCTAAAACTCATTAAAAACTAGACTAATGTACATAACAAAAACGAGAACAAAATCAATTCATTGAGTCATTTTGACAAACACTTCATGAGCATAAATAAACTAGAGTAATTACCCTAAAAGTTTCAAAATTAACACTTCATATCTCTTAAAATAAAACGATTTAATCAATTATACCAGGTTATAACATACA